CGCAGGGCCTGGACAAAATACATTGAATCAGTTGTGCGTCGGACGAAATATACTGGAATAAACATGAACTTAATGGAAATATGGTACAGTTGATTATGCCATTCCATATCAGGCGAATGCTTTTTGATGACAAGGCTTCAACAATGGCAACGAGAGCCCAAGTAAAACTCTCCAAGACAACCCCCATCACGTTTGTGGGCTTAGGATGCAAAAATTTGGCTACCACGTCCAGTGGAGTTGTTTACGAACTACACCATTTTTCCTTTAAGTTCAGATTGTTTCCGGTATATTTCGTCCGACGCACAACTAATTCACGCCTTGTCCATTATATTCGCCGAGCATTCGATATATTTCGTCCAGACCATACATGGCTGCAGTATATTTCGACTAATGTCCGGTATATGTCACCCAACAGCCTGTATATTTCACACTTGTTCATATATTTCAAATGATGTTCCATCTATTTCGATTTTAGATGCAAGTATGATCCATCGTAGTGGGACTTTGTTCATTGAGCAGGGCATTGCACGGCGCGCTGACGACACACTGGTCGCCATGGCGGTCCAAAGGTGCGATGTCGTTTGACATGAGCACCTCCGTCAATGCCGACATCGATCTCGAACGACATGAGCATCAAGGCTCCACGGTGCGGAAATCACCCCGTACTGAAGTCCAGAAACCCAATCACTTTTAAACCTAGCTGGAATACACAAATACCACGACGAAAGTATGACTCCCAGTCATGCTTGGAAAATGAATATGTAAACGGAAGCGATTCTGATTCCGGCTAGGTCGGGTTTATTAAGTTGTTGGAAATAGCCCAATCACGGTCAACGGTGTACGTTGAATAGATTGGGGCAAAAACGATCCACAACGAGTTGACCCGCGCACCTCCTTGTTTGATATAGTACACAATATCTGCTGCAAATATTCCGGATGCTTCCTCGTAACCGGATAGCCGCAAAAGAGGCGAAAAAGAAGCGCCCACCGTGGGGCTCGAACCCACGACCACAAGATTAAGAGTCTTGCGCTCTACCGACTGAGCTAGACGGGCTTTCCTGAACACATTCCTCCAACATGCTATTGGACAATGTACGCGATACGTTTGTACTCAAACCACTATGCACTCCACCAAGTACGCTAGCTCGACTCTACGTCCGCGCGTTCTTCCATTTCTTATCTACGCAAGGTGTGCATATTCTTAACGTCTCCACCAAGGTATTGCCATCACCAAACACATATCCAACGTTTCCAATCGTCTTCACGTTGGTTCGAAGTGCTTCGAAATAACTTGCCTTCGAGTGCATTTGCGGATACTACAAGAGTTCGAATGTAGGAAGTGTCTTGGCTGTGACTCTCCAAAGGTAACAGCCTAAGTTTGCACGGGTCACGCCGAGACCTCCCGATTCTTATTGGGAAAGTGCACGCCTTAACGTCCACCGACAACGAACAATGGTATGACACGACCTCATTAACTAGACGAAAGTCGTTGACATGGATACAAGCATTCGTTAACTTCAACTAGAAAACTTGACATCGTTCTCACTAGGGAAGATTTTTCACACACTGCTTCTGCTTAATAGTGTGGGTACGTAAGCTAGAAATAGTGTTGATACTATGTTGCTTTACGCCAACAACGTTTTATACTCATCAATGGTGAGTTGCTACGTTTTATTTCAGAACGCATTAGGTTAATTAGATAAAAGCCAATAACGTTTTAGGACTAAACCTTCGTTCGTGTGGCAGGGTCTCAATCACGGGAAAAGAATGGCGCTGGCACAGCAAGCAGATGCGGAAATGGCGGCATATCGCGCGCTCCAAGAAGAGGTAGATCACATGAGGTAACGAATTAGTTGATAACCATGAGGTAGGTGACAGTGCTGGCGAACCAACGACAGCTCTACGCCCAGCAGCAGAACGAGAACAGCATGGTGAAGCAAGAATTGGACTTGCTCGCGGACGGGTCCAAGGTGTTTAAGTTGATCGGCCCTGTGTTGCTCAAACAAGACACGGCGGAAGCCAAGACCAACGTGTCGAAGCGTTTGGAGTTCATCCAGAAGGAAATGGAAAAGGTGGAGAAGAAATTGACTGCCAAGGAAGAGGAAGCTGTCAAGATCCGACAGAACATTGCCGCCATCCAAACGCAAATGCAAAAGAACGCGGCGGAAAGCGCGGGTAGTGCTGCTGCGCAAGCACAACTCGGTCGTTAATCGTTAATATGCATCCCATACCATGGCGACGTTCATTCGGTTACTCCTTTTGCTACAGAGTCCATGTCAAGCAGCGCGTTTAGCGGCTGTCCAAAGGCCGCGGCATCCAACAGCTCAAACTTGAACCGGATCGATGGATGTCCTTCCATGTCGTGCTGGACATACCCCAGTCGACCCCCATATACATATGGCCCCTTCGAACGATATGATGTTGAATGACTCGCGTACCTTGCATGACTAAGATTGTTCGTACCTGTGCAAATCGAAAGAAGAGCAGACTGGGCTTGTCGTGATTCGGTGGTGATGCCACGCCATCTTTGGCGGCGGGGGGCGATGCTGCGTTGGAATGAGGTCCATGGATGAGTTGCTGCAGCACGGGGTGCCCTTCCGTGAGGGAGTTCTACCCACATATCACCACGAATAATGCCACAATGATGATTCAAAGATGTCATACCCGGGCAAACCAGTACACGAAGAGGGACGACCCCTCGCGTTCGAATGTGTTGGTGTATCTACCGTCGATTCAGTTGGATCCAGGAAGGATATTGCGGGGGGACTACCTGTCATTCAAGTCGACATTGATGAATATTACCATCGCGTTGGCCCACACTTGATGGCTCTGCAGCAACGAGAACCGGGGATGGTACCCAGGACACAGCCACATCATGGTCGCGAGTTTCCCCACGGGGTACAACGCGTGCCCGACGTACTCGTCCGAAGGAACTTGGAGGGACAGTTCCTTGCATGAATGGCCCGTCACAAGGGGCTCGGTCACGATCGTGTGCGGTGGCACGCCGTCGAGAATCACAGAGTACGGCTGACCAAACGCGAGATGTCACACCATATGCAGTAGGCCTCTGGGAGTATGGTACCTTGAGGGATTGTTGTTTCCGCGCCGTTTCTACCATGTCGACGGCGGCAATTTTTGGATTGGGCGATGCGATCTACGGGTCAAAGCACTCGCTATGAGTTATAGAAGATGCGTCGATGGACAGCAACTCGGACCTGGTTTCGCTGCATTAAGTTGGCTGACCGCGCCGCCGGAATGATTACCTGATTCTCTTGTCTTTCGTGGGTATTCTTGTCATGTAGAGATCGACGTTTTTTGACCGCTTTTGGGGGCACGTCGTCGCTGAGCCGTGCCCTTGCTACCGTCGCTCTACTCGACCTCCTCAGCGGCCCGTCAATGACCTTCTTTACCCAAGAACCCTTCTGTCGTGCGGTATCTTTCTTCGCTTCTATCCCCAGAGATTCCATCATCGCCTTGTTCCGTGCGATCTTGGCGCTCCGCTCTTCTTCGTACGCCGACAGCTCGGTCATTGCTACGAGGTCCCGCGCAAATGCGTTCAAGATGGCGCACTATTCATTTTAAGAGGTCCTCTGTTATTTTATACTGACCTGCAAACTGAACATTTTGAAACCGAAGCAAAGTATAGTGCTTTCGAGTGAAATTTCGTGCTTTCTCGTTGGAATTTAAATCGATTTGATTCTTAGCCAATCAAAACCGTCTCAATGAAATTCAACCAATCAGATCGATTGTGGATCGGTTTGGTCGGCGCGATTCGATTGCACTCCCTCCCCAAATTTGTATATCAAATCGACAATAACGTTACGAAAAAACAATCTTTCATAATACAGAATTCGTAAGGTGAAACAGTAGGTTTTAGTAGGCTCGCAAGGTGAGCTGCCTTACGAATTCCATAAATCGATCTGAAATAGTTCAAATTTTATTGAATGAAGCTTCATCTTTGTATGGAATAATTTAAATTCCTCTAAACGCATCTTTTTGATGAATTCGTAAGGCAGGCTGCCTTACCAAATTTCTGTCCAATTATATGATAGAAAGGTGAAAATAACTGGCCAATAATAGGATCGTTCTATTCTCTTTGCTACATTGCTAGCTGTAGCTTGTGAGCTACAGTACTACCGGTAGAATGCGATCCCTTGCTCCTATCCGCACGCTTGAGCCTGGGCGATGGTCATGCAGTATGACTTGGTCCTCGTCTTGTCGCAGCATAGGTAGTGGTTGTTCTTGGCGTAGTGGGCGCTCTGGTGGAAGTGCTGGGCTCGGGTGCCGTCGCACATGCCCCCGACCTTGGTCGACTTATTAGTTTTGCATCTTGGCATAAACCAAGTAATCACATGGGCCAAGCTCGTCAA